TCGGAGAGTGGAAGGGTCCTGTGGCCCTGGCTTTGTCATCAGTGGCTGCCATGGCAACAACAGCTCTGCACCTCATCCTTTGACCCCACCTTTGAAGAAGAGACACAGTACTCACCTTGTTTGCGCTGGTAGCACCTCATATCCCATTTATCATTTTCATCAATAATTGGAAGTTGCCTTTGGATTTTAACATCAGACATCGCACCTCTGGGTGAAGGAAGGAAGAATGTAAAATTGGAGTGGACTGTGGCCAGGCCTGGCCTGCCCAGGGCCCTCCTGAGAGTGGTAAAGTATCCCTATCTTCTCAGAAGCCTGGAGTCCAGGAAAACTTCTTGGCAGAGTCAGTCTAGAGCTTGTGTTCAGGAAGCTGTTGCTTCATGCAGCCGACTGCTTCATGGCAAAGCTTAGATTGTGTTCCCTGTGGAGGCTCCTTGAAACATCAGTGAGAAGCAGAGAAAGGGCAGGTCCCTCGTCACATAGCCAAACTTTCAGACTATGGTTAGTACAAGGTGGGATCTCCCAGCTCTGAAGGATTCCTCCCAGAGAGATGTCTAAGAGAATAACACCAGTGGGTAATGGATGGAGCTGTGGAGATCAGCAGGAGGGAAGGTAACACTTCCCTCAGTGCCTTGCCTCAGTGGCACTAAAGTCTTCTGCTCCTGTGAAGGCTTCTTTGTACTTCTAGTGTTGTGACCCTTAGGGGTCTGACTGGGATGAGTAGCCCCAGGCACCCTCTTTCTATGTCTAGTCAGTATTTTTCCTCTGTGGTGTGTTCTGAAGACATAGCATACCCAGTAAGTCGGTGTCATCTTTCATACTTGAGTGGCCAAAGCCAGCACCAAATCCTTGGGGTCCCAAAACTTGACAGGTAGAACCTGCCGAGTGAAAGGAAACTGGCTGGAAGCTCACTTCTGCTGTGTTCTTATTGAGAGGAGCAAGCTACCTTTCCCAAAAACAGGATTGTGTCCTAGAAGAGCCAACCTTCTAGGCAAGCATCTGATGGTTTCCCTTAAATGTGAGCCTTGTGCTTCCACCAAGTCTAATGAATTGCTTGTGTTTGGGGCCACAGCAGCTGCTTTGATAAGTACCACATCCTCCATGCTACATACAGCTAAACTAATATTGTTTCCTTTAACCAAAGCAAAAAAAAAAAAAAAGAAAGAAAGAAAAGTTTGCTATCTATTTTAATATTGCAGGAGGACCTACATGTGCAGGAGAAAATTTTGCCATTTCCCTAAATCAGCAGTATAAAGGCTGGTGCTGGGAGGAAGCCCCGTCTCTGGGGGATGGGCAACTCTGTCCGATGGGATCATTGATGTCCCATTGTTTTCTCAATTCTGAGAAGCCTAGTACAATAGTACTGATGTAATCACTGAAGCCTTTTCCCAGAATAAGGGAAGGCCCAATCCTGACATAAGGTCACAAGTTCTAGGGGTCTGGCCATTGGCTGTAAACCCTGTCAGAGAGTTTTGGTTCATCATGCCAATGCAACTTTGGTTTTCTTCAGGACTGGCTGGCCTTTCGAGGTCCTGTATCCTTATGCTTACCATCTCAGCAGGTCTGAGAGGCAGGGTTAAGTCTTCATTCTGAGCATTGCTTTTGTTTGGGAACTGAGGGTCGTGGGCATGTCGCTGACTGTGGGGTGAGAGTGAGTGTTGAGGTGGGCAGGAGTCCTGGAGAGGCATTCTCTAGCAGAGCATGGCAGTGTTTTCTCTAGTGCGTTCCCATGGGAAGTCTAGGTTTGCCATTAATCCAGCTGAGAAGCTCAGTTCTGTGCCTTAGAGATAATTTGCACTTTTCAGAATTGTGCCTAGGACAACCGTGAGATTGTTTCCTCCACCAAACAGCTATGCAAACAGAACAGTTGAAACGTGGCAACCATGCACTGAGTTGAACAAAATACAAGACAGCAGAAAAGTATTCAAATGGTTTCCTATAGCTAAATCTTGGTGAATTGCCCTGCTTATCCTCTATGCAGTACTAGGTGTTTGGAGCTTTCCAGTAGCGTTGCTTTGAGTTACAGTATAGCCTGTGTTAATCCTCTGTGCCAACACTTTGCTGAAAAGCCAGCTTATTGTTAGCCAGATGCTGGAAAGGGTGAGGGTGGAGTGGTGTGGCATTTCTGTTTAAATAAACATTTAAACTCTCAGCTGACGCTGTGCTTCAGTAACCCTGTGTACCACCTCAGTCACTGGAGACAAAACACCCAAGGTTCTAGGCCATGGGAAATTTCTGATTCTGTGAGTCTACTATAAATAAATAGTAATAATGAAAAAAAATGGTCTTTTAACAGAAACAATGCGAGACATTACACAGAAACAGTCTCTGCTGTTTTCCAATCTCATTCTTGCCAGAAAAAAATCATTTGTACTGCAACAGCTTTTTTTTCCCCAAAAATGTTTGTGAAAATTCAGAAAACCCAGAAGGGGGAAAAAGAGACATTAAAAGAAGGATCCTGGGCTAGCAGGGTAGCTCAGCAGGTTAAAGTGGCATGCTGGGCAGGCCTGGTGACCTGAGTTCAACCTGTCAAATCACAGAACTGCCTCTGACCTCACACACTGGCGTGTGTGCCTGCAGTCGTGCACACCATGCGTGCACAGTGAGAAGAGGCGTCAGGTCTCTTTTACACACCTCCTTGGTCCTGATGGGAGACCATTCCAAGTGATCCTTCCAGTTTGTTGCTAAGACTTCCTCAAGACAGCTGAGTTGTATTTGGTATCCTTGGCATAACATCTGCTCCTTTTCTTGGCTCAGCGCTGCACTGCAGTTTAAAGCAAAAGGCTCCTAACGCTCAAATTTCATTTGGTTTGTTATCTGTTCAGAAACATTCATGATAGGAAGAGCAGCCCAGAGGAAAATATGTATTTTACAGAAAGTCCTTCACATGAGGTCCCCAGGCCTCAAAGGAAGTATCAGTCATGATAGCAGGAGGTGTGGTGAGCTGTAGTCAAGACTGAGATTCCCTGCAAGGCCAGAAGTCATTTATTGCCGCAGTGATTAACTGCCGACATAAATGTGCTGATCATTAAACCTCACAGGTCATGGGCCTTGGGGAGGAAAATCTGTGCAGTTGTGAAGGGTGATCCGATGACTGAAGCAAATGTTGACAAGCTTTGTGAACTAGGAAATCTTGGCTCAGCGTGTCTGTACACACTTCGAAATAAAAAGAGCTACCTTGTGAGTTTCACCACGGGAATTTTCCATAGCTTTTTGAATTTTAAAATGTATGATGTTTATGACATGTGCTTAGAGTAACAAAATATGGACATTTACAAGCAGCATCTATGTGATCTCCATTCAGGAAGAGACTCGAGGTTGTAAAACAGCTCTTACCTCCCCGGAGCTAGCTAAATTCAGAAGACTGGCAAAAGCTGAGGTCAAAGGGAACACAAAGACAAGGGTTCTTGTTTTCTTTCTCTGGCAACTTAAGAATGAATAACTGCTTGTGTCTATAGTAAGACCTGTACACAGTTGCTTCCCCTTGAGGGCTCTAAACTGTGACCCTAATAACATTGTGGGATCCCAAATCCATATGTCTAAGAGGCCCAGCAGATGAAGGAAGAGAATCTGGCTTTACTCGCTATCATTCCCAACTGAAGGAGTGGCAGGTTGTGAACCACTTCCAGTGTGTCCTGTGTAGGTTACGGCCCCATGTTTCTACAGCCTCCAGTGTGTCAAGACATGCTCCTATACCAAGTTTTAAAAGTTATATTTTTGAATGCTTCATGACAAAGTATCTGGGACCGGGCAAGGTGATGCACGCCTTTAATCCCAGCACTCAGGAGGCAGAGGCAAATGGATCTCCATGAGTTCGAGGCCAGCCTGGTCTCCAGAGCTAGTTCCAGGACAGCCAGGGCTGTTACACAGAGAAACCTTGTCTCAAAAAGCCAAAAACCAAATGGACAATAAAGCATCTGGGGTGGCGTGGGGGCTGGAGAGATGGTTCTGAGGTTAAGAACCTTTAGTCCCAGCACTCAGGAGGCAGAGGTATTGGATCTCTGTCAGTTCAAGGCCAGTCTGGTCTATAGGGTGAGTTTCAGGACCACCAAGCTACACAAGAAACCCTGTATCAAAACAAAGAAACAAAGAATCTGGGTTCCTAGCACATACATGGTGGTTTACGACCATCTGTAACTCCAGTTCCAGGGGATCCAACATTCTTCTGACTTCTGCAGGTACCAGGTGTGCAGTCAAAATACTCATAAAATAATCTTTAAAAATTTTGAACATCCATGGGGATACAACATTGTGACTTCTTTAGCCATGGCTTATTATCTGTTCCTTTTAACCTAATGTAAGGAACTGTGTACTCCTTAATAAACTTGCCGGAGTTAGGAGCATGTCAGGCTAAATATCCAGCATTTGTAAAAGCTTAAGCATCCATCTTCCTAAGCTCCCCAAGCCCCCTAGTTGAGGGTCTAACTTGAAGTGAGCAGTGTTCTCACCGTTAAGAAGAGCTGATCCCTTTCAGAATTTAAAATAGAAGTCTGACTACACTCCCATCACAGGGCCGTGAAAATGAGCATTGTCTATGCTTGCTTAGACTGGCTCTGCTGCCTCAAGGTACCCAGACAGTTTGAAAGGCTCCTAGCGGCTTCTTCAACATATGAGATGCGTTTAAAAAAGAACAAGTATAGAGAAGTAAAATTGTTTTCTATCCATCCCTACCCTGTAAAGTGCAAAAAGATGTTTCATTATACAGCACACCATGGGGAAGGTTAAGGATACACTGGTCCCCTAATGTTACATACTTTCGTTGGCTATCAGCCAGAACCATGGGCCATGGAGGCCAAGGATAGATTTCCATCAATAATGCCTGACGGCACAAACTTCTATCTTTTATAAGAGTTACCATCTGTATGACAATGACCCTCTGACCTCAGCTCACTCCTCTTTATATCCCTACTTTGAAAAGCAAGAAGGGCTAACAGAAACCCTGGACACATGCCATGGTCGGAAAACACAATTGAATACAGGCACTTTGTCAGCACAAACTATGGTCGGGCTCAGGAGAAGAGCGCTTTAATGCAGTTTCACTACCCAGTGTCCTCTCTCACACACACACACCCACCCCAGTCCTTCAGGCAAGAACATAAACACACAGCCGGGGTTATGATCCAGTGAGAAGCTGGGTTTCCACCTGCCTCCTGCCAGGTAGCGGGCTCTCCTGGATGGGTTTGCTCAGCAGGTAGAGCCTGAGTTCTGCAAAGGTTCTGTTTCTCCCTGCTTTCTGCCACCCATGCTCTGGTTTACTGCTGCAGGGAAGTACAGCCTCCTGAACTAAGCAAGGCGGGTTCTGCCACTGTCTGCTCAGCTGTCATGCCTCCTCGGGGGTGGGGGGCGGTTCTTGATGGTCTTACACTTAGGTATGTGTCGTTCAGCCACCTTGGGAGCAAAGTGGCGGCTGCAGTGAGGACACTGGACATAGTCTGGGTTCTCCACAGGCAGGATGGGAGGCAAGTCTGAGGGATTCCCACCTCTGGCGATGACCTGTTGGACCTGTCGAGCATGCCGGAGGGTGCGGATAAAAGACTCATGCTTCTGTCTCCAGGTGCTCTTCCGGGGAGGTTCAGTCTGTAACGGGAAAGGGACATTGAGCCTCCAGCTGCCATGGATCTCTCCCTTTTAGGGCTCACTGACAGCAAATAGGGTGTGAAAAGGTCCTCAACATCAAAGAACCACAAAGGAGGAAGGGTGACAACTGACCTGCCAGCACTGGGGCCCACCCCAAGAGCCTCCAAGAATTGGTCCTACCTGCAGGCCAGGCATCTTCCTGCCAGGTCCCGAGGGAGCTGGCTCAGGTAGAAAGTAGGAAGGTGTGGGGAAGAAAACAAGCTGAACTTAGAACTCCTCTCCTGCCCTGTGTACCCACGTGCCCAGCACCCCCGCTATCCTCCCATGAGAAGAGAGATTTGTTCTCTGGAAAAATTGAATTAGATAGGTTTTAAAGATTTATTTGTTTGCTTTTATTTTATTTGCATTGGTGTTTTGCCTGCATGAGAGCATTAGATCCTGTGGACTGGAGTTAACAGACAGTTGTGAACTGTCAGGTGGGTACTGGGAATTGAACCTGGGTCCTTTGGAAGAGCAATTGATGTTCTTAACCACTAAGCCATCTTTCCAGCTACTTAAAGATTTTTTTTAAACTTCAGTTTGTGTCTGTGTGTGTGCCATGTGTGTACAAAGGCCAGGAAGGAAGGCCTGGGGAGGGTGTCAGATCTCTTGGAGTTACAGGTGGTTGTGAGCCACCAGACGTGGGTGTTGGAAATTGATCTCAGATCCTCTGGAAAAACAGTAAGCACCATTAACTGCTGAGACAGCTCTCCAACTCCTAGATAGGTTTCAGTTCAGAAAATCCAGCCAGGATAAGGAACAGGGTTCCTTTCAGCGCTGGTAGGGAAGCCTGAGCAAGAGCACCCAGCAACCACGGAACTGTCAAACTGCTTTAAGATCAGCTCCCAGAGCACCAGTAGCTAGCATTGTCTTGGGAGGACAATAGTTCTATGGATTCAACCAGTAGCCAGAAATGAACCTTCCAACACTGGCTTTGGGGGTCACCATTACAGGGCTCACTGATAACTATGAAGTCCTTTAGTGAATGAATCTACTAAGCTTAAATGAACAGCAGGATGTGGTGATGCATGCTTTTAATCCCAGCACTCAGAAGGCAGAGACAGGAGTCTCTGCGAACTCAAAGCCACCAGTACTAAATGATGAGACACTGTCTCAAATCAAAATCAAAAACAAAATCACCAAACGAACAGGCAAGGATTGTCAGATCCTAGATGAGCGTTTAACTAAAGAGAAAAGGTCCCCAAAGCACAAGAACAAAAACTCTGGAAACTGAAACGTGCACACAGAAACATCTTCACAGAAAAATATAATATCAATGAAGTATTAAAAGATATTGTGTCCAGAGTATAGAGATAGCTCAGCAGTTAACAGCACTGACTGTTCTTGCAGAGGACTCAGGTTTGATTCCCAAGTCCCACATGAATCCCATGCCTTCTTTGGCCTCCTTTGGCAATGCATACACATGGTGCAGCCATATGCACAATCAAAACACCCATATATATATATATATATATATATATATATATATGTAAATATTTTTAAAATAAATATTTTTAAAAGAAAGATTTTGTCCATAAAAGGAGTGTATTATGAAAGATGAACAACCAGAGAAATAAAATAACAATAACTATAAATTAAAAGCCTGATAGTCAAAACTCAAATAGGAGCATTAGAAAATAATAAAGGAAAACATTCAGAATGGAAAAAGAGAGAGCAGATGGACAGTAAATACGATCGGAAAATCAGTTCAGAAAATTCGACATGTGAGCAAACTTGTTCCAATAAGGACAGAAAGTAGGAAAGGAGGTTATTAAATAATATAATTAGTACTTGTAGACTCAAAGATCACAAGTCTTGAAACTGAAATGACTCATCAAAGCTCCGAAGCGAACACTGTAAAATCTTAGAATTTTAGAGTAAAGAAAACCCTGTTGGCTTGGGAAATGAAACAAAATAGGTTTCAGAAAATGAAACAGGAATCAAAACATTAGAGTTCTCAACAATAAACACTGGGTAGTCAAAGCAACAAAGAAATACTGTTTTAAAAGTTCTGTAATAAAGTGAGGGATCATGAAATGTCTCTTTTCTCTTTTTACAACTTTTATTAAATTTGTTCTCTGACAAAAAAAAAAGAGTTCTACTAAAGGGCCAGGCATGGAGGCAGAGGCAGGCTGATCTCTGAGTTTCAGGACGGCCAGGGTTACAGAGTGAGGCAATGTCTCGAAAACGAAGTTCTGATAAAATCATTTCCTGCCTAGATTTCTATACCCAGCCAAATCATCAAATAGGAAGCATTTATGTGGATATTTTCTTTAAGTCCACGAATAAGAATATACCATCTATGCATATCTCTTGGTAAATTTCAGCAAAACAATGAACAGGAAAACAAGAAAAAGACAGGACTGGCACAAAAGAGAAGCTGAGGGAAGTTCCAAAGCCACAGAATGGCCAGGATAGATAGAGCAGGAGGAGAACAGGAAGTTTCCAGAATGGGACAGGGGCACCTCTGGTGCAGGAGAAGTCTCTGTATTCTGTCAATCATGTTTTAAATAAACGCTGATTGGCCAGGCAGGAGGTGTAGGTGGGAAAACCAGATAGGAAGTGGAAATGATGCAAGGAGAGCAGGAGAATTCTGGGGAGGAGGAAGCTGATTCCTCCCACTCCTGCCCAGATCACCGAAGCAGCAGGATGTTAGCTGCCCCACTGAAAAAGGTACTGAGCCACATGGCTAACATAGATCAGAAAAATGGGTTAATCAAGATGTGAGAGTTAGCTAATAAGTAGCCTGACCTAATGGACCCAATCAGCATTATAACTTATAGAGATCTGTGTGTGATTTTTCTCTGGGACTAAACAGCTGGGGGGTCGGGCAGAACAGAAACCCCCAACATACAGGCCCCTTCATGTTACAGAATGGCGCCCACCTGGATAACTGCATCCACAGAAAGCCTGAGAAAGCTTGGGAAAGACTAGAGTAAAGCATTTTGGTTTTCAGCTGTAGCAGGAAAAAAGCTGCGCTGTTTTAAAATGCCCGCTTTCTGGGCCGTCCTGCCAGGGAAAATTCTTGACTCTTTCAAGCAGGCAGTCCGGACTATGGAAACAATGTTGCAGCTTGCTTCCTGGCAAGGACCTTGAAATGCCATAGGAGCTTTTGAATGTTGTCTTCTCCATATTCCTTAGCAAATTAAAGACCCATGTGGTCAGAAAAAGAGAGATATACAGTAAAGAGAGATTCAAGGAGTAAAAAAAACCTCTAAATGGTTTACAGTGTGTTAAAAATATATGCAGGCTTGAAAAAAGTGTTTAAAGCTTTAAAATAAAAAAGAAAGGAAGAGAGTAGTTGGGTGTGGTGGAACACACCTTTAATCCCAGCACTGGGGAGGCAGAGACAGACGGATCTCTGGGAGTTCAAAGATAGCCTGGTCTACAGAAGGAGTTCCAGGACAAAGATATGCAGAAAACCTATCTCAAAAAGCCAAAAGTTAAAAATAAAAATAAAAGAAATAGAGGTTAAAATAAAGCTGCATAAAGATGGAAAATATACAGAGAGTCTTGATACTAGTTGCTATTATGCTCTCTTTAAATTGTTTAAATGCTGAGGGAGGAGCAACAGCTGCTAAAAGATACTTGCTTATAAATGCTGCAGAATCAATCCAAGAAAGGTATTTTGAAAATACCTTGGCTTCAAAGTTGAAGTTAAAAGGTATGTTACTTTGGAGAAGAGATTTTGCTTTTGTTTCCACAGAAAATGAGAGGCTCTGGATTTATTCAGAGTTAAGAAAAATCATCTTTGACCAAGGGAGACCACCTGAGAAATCTCTGGTAGGAACAAGTGGCCCAGATGTCTGAGTTCTTTATCCAGAACAGGTTCAAGACTGCTGACAGAGATGATCAAGACTCACAGGATGCTTCAGTCAGGACTTGATCATAACTCTAAATTTTCTTTAGGTCCCCATAAGATTATCAGCGCCCCCAACCAGCTGGAAGTAGCCTGGAATACTAAGCCCACATTCCCCCCAAAAAAATGGACTATGGATATTTTCCTTTGTTTTTTTTTTTAAAAAAGAGGGGGAAGTGGTGTGGGAAAATTCTCTGTATTCTGTCAATCATGTTTTAAATAAACGCTGATTGGCCAGGCAGGAGGTATAGGTGGGAAAACCAGATAGGAAGTGGAAATGATGCAAGGAGAGCAGGAGAATTCTGGGGAGGAGGAAGCTGATTCCTCCCACTCCTGCCCAGATCACCGAAGCAGCAGGATGTGAGCTGCCTCACTGAAAAAGGTACTGAGCCTCATAGCTAACATAGATCAGAAAAATGGGTTAATCAAGATGTCAGAGCTAGCTAATAAGTAGCCTGACCTAATGGACCCAATCAGCATTATAACTTATAGAGATCTGTGTGTGATTTTTCTCTGGAACTAAACAGCTGGGGGGTCGGGCAGAACAGAAACCCCCAACACACCTCAAACTGATTTGTCGTAAAAGGTATCTGGACACTTGGAAAAAGACAGTAACAGATTCCTAGCATCCAGAAGGTTAGTTAGGGAAGGTTTTAAGTACAGACTAATTATAATTGTAAGTACAGGGTGATTGAAGGAGATGGAAAGTTAGTCAGTGATTAACCCCAAGTCCACGTGGGCAGGAGTGAATCTGCTCTGATATCAGTGACAGAGATGGTATAATGGTCATGTAAAATCCCACTGTTTTAAATCAGAACCACGGCCAACTAGAGTGGAAAGGGGAAATAGTGGAGAAGGCAAGGGGGAGAGGGATTGAGACAGAGCTTTGCCTGTGAGGATAAGCAGCCAGCAGAGGCAAATCAAGAAAATAAGTGTATTATTTAGAATCCTGGAAATGCATGCCAGAAGACATATTACACAACTGAGACTCAAGAAGGAACCTGAAAAGGATGAAGTAAGAGTGCATTATAGATCAGTTCATGATCTATAGACACCACACGGTGTCTAAGATGTGTATAATTAACTATTTAAAATAAAGGTGGGCCCAGCAAGATGGCGTAGTGGCTGAGGGTGCCTGTCATCAAGCCCAATGACCTGAGTTTAATCGCCAGGCCCCACGTGGGAGAAGAAGAGAACCAATTCCCACAGTCCTCTGATCTCAACAGGCATGCTTGCACACTCACATACACGAAATAAATAAATACTAAATTTTTGTTTTGGCCTTTTGAGACAAGGTTTCTCTGTCTGTGTAACAGTCCTAGCTGTCCTGGAACTAGGTCTTGTAGACCAGACTGGCCTCAAACTCACAGAGATCCACCTGCCTCTGCCTCCTAAGTGCTGGGATTAAAGGCGTGCGCCACCACAGCCCGGCTATAGATATTAATCTTTAAGAGAGTAAAAAGGACAAAATCTCTTAGTAGTAGGTAATAACAAGAATGCTATCAAAGGACAAAGCATGCTCTATCAGGTATATCTTACTGAGACAAAAGACAAAGGAACTGGTGTTAAAATATGGCCCCCAGGAACCTTAAAAGAATTCAGCCAGAAGGATCTAGGGGGTACAGTAGCTGTGTTTTCATTCTGTGTCGTACTGAGATGTTCCTTACCACAAGAAGCACAAAGTCGTGTGTGGGTTCCTGCCTCACGTGCTGGCAGTCTAGTAGACATGGTGTATGTCTCTTGGATGTCGTGTGAATAGTAAGTGACTTAGAAAAAGCTGAATTTCAGAGTCTATGGGAAAAGCGGCAAGGAGTTGCAGCCACTTAGCTCAAAGATGGCACAGAGCTCTGGAGTGGGACTTGAGGCACTCCTAGGTAGAGTGCAGCTCTGCAGAAATCCTTTCTGCCTTGTGTCCCTGTGCTGCTCTGACCTTAACCCAGTCTTCTCAGAACTGGGCCGTGTAGCTTTAGTGCTACGATATTTAGGAACTTAAGAAGCACAAGATTCCTTTCGATGATGGCCCCAACTAAGTTATGGTAGCCATAGGGAATCCCCAGTGAATTACCAGGCTGATCAAAGAGGAAAGAATAGTAATTGGCCATCCTGTCATTATCTGTCTGCAAAATGCTGACTTCTTGTTGGAAGCTGGATGTTAGGGACATTATCTCTAAACATGAGGGAGACATTCTTGTGGTGATCTCTCAAATTGTACTGAGCAAACACACTATAATTATTAAGTTATCTTTGAACATCCATCACATCAGTGGGTGTTTTTAAAGGCTCCAGCAAGAGGACATTTAAACTGTAAAGTCCTGAAAAGAGAGAACTGGGAACTGGGTGCCGTGACCCACATCTCTAATCCCAGCGCTTGGAAAGCAGACAGGTGAGTCTGAGGCCACCAGCCTGGTCTACATAGTGAGTTCTAGGCCAGCCTGCAAGGAGGGGGAGGGAGGGACAGGAAGGGGAGAGGAGGAGAGAGAGTCCATGAGGGCACACATGCTTTGGGAAGAAATGAAACCAAAATATGTTCTATTTTTCCCCATACTGTTACATGGGGGCCTTTGAGATCATCTGGTGTGGGTTTTTGTTTGTTTGTTTGTTTTGTTTTTGTTTTTTTGAGACAAGATGTCTCTGTTGCTTTGGAGCCTGTCCTGGAACTAGCTCCTGTGGCCCAGACTAGCCTCGAACTCACAGAGATCCACCTGCCTCTGCCTCCTGAGTGATGGGATTAAAGGCATGCACCACCACCACCCAGTTCTAACGTGGGGTTTTCCCAACCCTGTTCATCTTACTCTTTAGTACTTTTCTTTAAACTCATGACCCCACAGAAAACACAGACTGAATATGATTTTCTAAAATAAACACTGTGCAGAAGCTTATTTTACAAACCAAGTGGCTTACTCTCGAAGGCTGGTTATGGGGCAATGGTCTCCAGGTGGGTCTAAATCAGCCCATAAAGTCCTGAGCCATATCAGTTAGGTGTCGTGGATCCCTAACGGTTCCCATTTGGGTTTTTCTAAAGTGAGGGATGTTTTGGAGAGCTACTTAGAAAAGAAAACGAAAAAGAGCCCTCAAATACGTACTTTATCCCTGTGGTGTTAACACTCTAACTGGAGAGGGGGATCCAAACGTACACGTGTTTCTGGAATTTACGAAGAATACATCAAAACTGAGCTCCCTTTTAAAGAGTAGGTACAGCTGAGCATGGTGACAGATGAGAGAAAGCAAGGAATTCTCATAAGTCAGAAAAATGTCTTCAGGGGCTGGAGAGATGGCTCAGAGGTTAGGAGCGCTGCCTGCTCTTCCAGAGGTCCTGAGTTCAATTCCCAGCAACCACATGGTGGCTCACAACCATCTGTAATGGGATCTGGTGCCCTCTTTGGTCTGGTGGCATACATGCAGACACTGTATACACGATAAATAAATAAATAAAGCTTTAAAAAAAAAGAAAAATGTCTTATGTTTGTTTTAACACAAATTGCAAGTTTTTAAAATTTCGTTTCTATGAGTTATTTTTTTTCCCTGCAACAAACATGAATTCGTTTTTACAATAATCAAAAGGACATTATATTTTAAAAATCTAGATTTTGGAGTCAATTCTAGTAAGATTTAAATCTAATAAGATCAAGAGCAGGGGCTATTGATCAGCAATAGACCGTTTATCTAGTATGTACAGGGCCCTGAGGATAACACTAAAAGATAAAAATCTACTTAAACTGTCCAAGCTTTGTGTGTGTGTTGAGGGAGTAGGTCTGATGTGTATGTGTTTAGATGTCTGAGCCTTGTGTGTGTGTGTGCGCGCACACGTGTGTGTGTTTAGATGTCTGAGCCTTGAATTTTGAATGGATACAATGATAGACAATAAGATTCTTACAGAATTGTGAGGCTTGTAGAAAAAGCTCTGATCACAGAGACTAGCAAAGGGAAGTTGTGATTCCCCTCCATTCTACATTGTCCCGGATCCCAACGGGAACTAGCGAGGACACAGCAAGCCATTACACGCACCCCCATACAGAGTTAAACCTAGGAGGCTCTTATTACCTTGGAGGTGACTGGCCCCTTCCAGTTCAAGTACTGCTCCAGTTCTGTGCCCTTAGCCCGGGCCCTGGAGGAGTCGAACACTTTTCTCTTGGACCCTTGCATCCTCCCACAGACGGTGGAGTGTCTCTGCAGCCGGAGAGAAAGAAACGTGCGTCCACAGTGGCTGCACTTGCCCAGCTCCGGCTCTTCTGTGGAGGAAGCGGACCCCAAGGAGCTTGGTGATGCCGACAGGCTTGATGGCTGCAATGCACTGCCCAGCTCTTCGGAAGGTTTCAGGAATTCGTCTGCGGAAGGCCCTGAGTCTCGGACTTTGTTGTTGCTTGCCATCAGCCTCTCCCTTTTGAGCCTCTGGATTTCATAATCAGAGAACTGGAGTGGGCTAGAGGTTTTCTGAGCCCATTCACAAGGCTGACCCTCTCCCCTGTCTCTACTGAATACCTCGGAACTGAACTCGGGAGATAAGCTGGGGGTCCGTGTGGCATTGCTGTTACTGTCCCTAACTCTCCCTGCAGGTAGGGTCGGTCTTAGTAGCTCTCTGTCTTCATGCTCCTGGGCCCGTTTCTTTTCCTTCTGAATCCTTCGGAGACCCTCCTCTGTCTTCTTCAGCTTCTCCCTCAGAAGGCTCTCTTTCCTGCGGATTTCCATCTCTAGAGTCTCACCTGCAGCTTCTAGTCTTCGGATCTGTGTCCACTCGGTCCTATGAAGGTCCGCCATGACCTTCTCTGCCTGCACAGAGGCAAAAAGAGACGAATGCAACCAGCTCTTCAAACCAAAGTTGCTGTCTGAAAACTCGCTTGAGTCAGGGAGTCTTGGATAGGCATTCTGGTCCCCATCAGTGCCTACCTCACCTGTACTATGAGACTTCCGGTGGGCCATGGGTTTCAGTGGGTATGCCCGATCTACTCCAACTCGTTTCTTCCTAAAGGGAATGAAGTCCTGGTCATTTGCTTTGGGATACCGGGGTTGAGGGCTTGACAGGGAAAACATGCCCTTTCCTTGGCTCTGGGGATGGCTTGCTGAGCTCTGCCGGCTGATCCTGGCACTCTGGGGACAGGAGTGCCTCCGGGTTTTTGTGCAGATGTTCCCTTTGGGGTGAGTGGAGGCACCCTCCTCCTGCTCCAGCTCTGTGCTGCTCCAAAGCTTCTGCTGGAAATTGTTCCTCAAGTGTCCCATCGAGGACCGCTGGGAAGAGTCACCTTGTTCATAAGGGTCCTGCTTAGCTGAGTGGAGCCCTGGCGCTTCTGTTTTATTATGTGGGAACATAACGCCCACAGGCAGATGTGGAGCCAACTGGAGACCAGCCATTCAGGGCCTGGACCGAAGCCTAGGGGAAGATTTAAAACAGATACGTGGGAAGGATTAGTCTGAGCTTCACTCCCCGCTGCTAGGCTGCTAGAGTAAACTGTTCGTACATTTGCCCTGCCCACATTCCCTTTAAACGTAGTGCGGAATCTGCCAGGACCTTCCTTCAGTTAGCATTTATTTAGTAAGTGCCGGTTATGTGCCAGACATTGTTAAGCCCCGAGGACCAAATCGTGAACGGGACACAGGTGTTCTGCCACTGGCTTTCCTCCACACCCGTATCCGATCTGCCATACACTATTATGGAATGGGTGGAAAGAGCCCTAGAACGAAGGTCACCTGTGACCAAAACAAAAAACAGAAAAACAAAAACAAAACCAGGCAACCTGCTCTTACTAGCCCCGGTTCTTGTAAACTGCAAAGTCTGTTCCGAGTCCGGCCCCACATTTTTACAGGGTGAGAACAGTTGGCCTGGCGACGGGGCCTGGCACCGAGCTCTCCCTGGGCTTTCCCCCTGCTAGGAACTACAAAGAGCACCGTGTGCCCCGGCTTGAAGCAGGTGCTTGGCTGTCAAACCCTCATCCTAAGATACTCTATGGCCCAAACCGCAAGAGGTACCAGTGTGTTGGGGCGCGGGGCGTGACTCCTCACCGCCCCAGTTCGCTTTAGATCCGGAACCCGAAAGTTATGCTCTGTCCCAGAGGGTCAAACGGTAACCCTCACGGGGATTCGGCCTCTAGAGACAAACTCTCACTCTCTGGTCCCTTGGGAGGTGGTGGTATCGATTCCGTGACTCCCCTCCTTTTCGCATACCTGAGGCGCTTGGGGGCCACTCCTGCTGAGGGAAAAATCCCCAAGACCCACTTTTTCCACACCTGACTAAACCCAACTGCCGTCCGCGCAGGCGCTCTCTTGTCCACCTCTGTTATTCCCGTTGCCTAGAAACCAGAGGGCCGCCTCCGGTTGCGACCTTCCAACCCCAGACCTGCGCAGGCTCAGTCCACAAGCGGTCCGGAGCTGCAGCGCAGATGGGTTAGGGGTGGAGGAAGGTGGGGTAAGGGTGCCGGCGGGTCACTTGAAGCAGGATGCAGCCAACTCTGCAGCTCAGATCAGCGCTGCCCTTGGGGCTAGGGGAGGAGAAGCTTTTCTGGGGCTACATCAAAGAAGAACTTGCATTTCCCTGAGAACGATGCTCCCAGACCTTAGGGAGAAGGGTGGAGGCCCTAGATGGGCTGCGGAGTCACCCTGTCACAAGATTCGGGGATCCGCCCGGCTAGCGGGAGTGGGAATGCTGATTGCCCTTCTCAGCGCACTTGGCTGCTGCTCCCAGGCCCCAGGTAGGGCTGCAAAGCTCCAGACTATATGCGCCCGGGCTGATCTCCCCTTGCAATGCTTTGGCGCTTGCGATTAGATTTACTTTTATTTCGTTACGTGTTGTTATCGTCCCAGGGTAGTTTCTAAGGCCAATCTAATTATATTACTATTATAATGTTTTACTCTTACGAGGTAAATCTGACCGTTTCTACTTTGGGCCCGGGAATGACTCAGCCAAATGTAATGATAATAAAGTTAAGTACCACATCGACAATAATGAGCATAGCTTGATTTCAACAGTAAATGATCCCCTGTAACTTTTCGACATCAGAAGAGGGTTTATTTGTCTTCTTCGTGCTTCAGTTCATTTGGATAAGCTTTTTGGAACAGAGAGCTCAGTTTTTCCTGTAACTAAGCAGAAGATTCGTGCACGTGGGAAATAAAGTGGACAGCAGTCCCGTTAATCCTTCAACATATCAGATGTCAGCTTTTCTGTGCTATAAAGAAATTTCTTGGTGGGTTCTCTAGGGCAGATTATAAGTCGTTGTTTTCATTCCCAGTTGTCCCTTTTGCCTCTCCACTTTGCAGACTTTTCCCACTGACTTGGGCCTGGGGAAATTTCAGCTTCCCCCTGCTGAAGTCTTCTTTGGCTTTTCCCTATGCATTCATCCCTTTTAACTACTTTACAGTACCCTCCGTGTTGATCTCTGGTTGTAAAATATGCGTGACTTCTTCGTGGGAAAAAGTTTCACTTCGCTGGACCTGCCTCCTACTTGTTTCTCCTTCTGTTTTGTTTTGTTTGTGTTTGGTTTGAGACAGGCTTCCTGTCCAGCCCCCTGGCCCTCCTGCCTATGTAATCAGCTTGCCTCAGAGTCCCCTAGGCTGGGATATAGGCGCGCGGACGCGCGCGCGCGCACACACACACGCTTTTCCTTATCCCTCCTCCTTGTCCGGGCCCCTGCAGCCTGACTTCTGCTCTCCAGTTAACTGCGCAGCTATTCATGTTCTTCCCACGAGTAAAGGCAAGAAGGCAAGCTTCAGTTTCTGCAGCCTATTTGCTGGACGATGTTGATAATTCATTGCCTTAAAACTAAATTCCCTATAGTGAGATTTCATTTATGTCTTCTAAATAAAGCTTGCCTGAAGACCAGAAGGCAAAACTAAACCATTAGAGAACAGGCTGTGGTGGCCCACACCTTTAATCCCAGGATTTGGGAGACAGAAGCAGATAGATCCCCATGAGTTCAAGGCCAACCTGGGCTACACAAGACCAATACAGAAACAGGTTCAGATAGTGGCTCACACCTTTAACCCCAGCACTAGAGAGGAATATAAACCAGGATGAGACAAGAACTCTTTCTTTTTAGTCTGAGTAGCGGATCTACAGTAGACGGTGGAAGATTGTGGCTCGTTCTGCAGGCCGGCGGGGGGCGCTGACAGACGGTAACGGAACTACTTGCGGTGCTGGACCTGGAATCGAACTCTGGTCCTCGGGCGGAGTGGTCCGGCGCTCTACCCCCTGAGCCGTCTCTCTGACTGGCTGAGTATTTCTTAGAGGTTAAAAACTCTCTAGCGGGTTGGCTGCTTTGCTTTTCTGATTTTCAGGGTGAACCCCACTCTCTGTCTCTGTTTGTTCGTGCTATACTCACTACTCCTGTGTCCTCTTGCGTTCTTCTTTCTCAGCCTTGCTCCGTCTATTTCCACTTACGGTTTCTGGCATTTATACTTTCCCCCTATTGGCCTCCTAAGTTTATCTGTTCTCCCAAACACTCTTATCTTTCATGTATATGCTCTTAGAGGCATTCTCTTCCTTATGACTTCTACCAGATGCTGAAATCTGGAATTTTGTCTATGTTTAAAATAGTCCTTGGGGGGCTGGAAAGATGACTCAGTGGTTAAGAGCCCTGGTGGCTCTTCCAAAGGACCTAAGTTCAATTCCCAGCCCTACATGGTAGTTCACAACTGTCTGTGACTCCAGTTCCTGGGCATCCAGCACCCTCATACAGTCATAAATGCAGAAAAACCACCAATGCAAATGAAATAAAAATAAATGTTTTTTAAAATACCCCCTGTTTAGTGATAGTCTTCTCAGTTATAAATTTCTAACTACCCACCTGTCACCTCCTCATGACAGCCCCCCAGGAGCCCCAATCCATGGGACAGACCACTGGTGATCTCCACATTCTCTCATGTCCTCTCACCCTCAAAGCATACATCGTCTTCCTAGCTCTCTCTAGCCATCTCTTCCAACTGACCGACAAATTCTACTGAGTTTACATCTGCAGTTTTTTTCTCATAATAAGCTGTATCCTCTCATGCTCTGCCCGTGTTTCTTGTGGGGATGGATGGCTTTACCCTCTTCACCATCAGTACCTGCGTCCCAAATCTGTCCTTGTTGTTTTCCAAATGAGGATTCTAAAACCTTCTTTCCTAGCTTTCTTGAGATATTAACAAGGCCTGGGCTTACAATCAGTGGTAGACGGTATACTTAGAATGCACAGAACCTAGATTCCATTCCCAAGCAACAAAAGCACAAACACACACACACACACACACACACACAAACACAGAGAGAGAGAGAGAGAGAGAGAGAGAGAGAGAGAGAGAGAAGGAAAGGAAGGATAGAGGGAGAGAGAGATTATAAATTAAAAAGTATATATAGTACTTCGGAATCATGTACACTGAAAATTGATACTGAGATTAGCACAGCTCTGGCTCAAGAATGAAACCCAAACTGAGCCGTGGTGGTGCTCACCGTTAATCCCAGCACTCGGAAGGCAGAGGCAGGCGGATCTCTGTGAGTCTGAGGCCAGCCTGGTCTACAAAGCGAATTCTAGGACAGCCAGGACTGTTTACACAGAAACTCTGGCTCAAAAAGGAAAGAAAAGAAGCAGCACAAACTTACAAAGTATGTCTTTTAAAACTTGTACATATTGCAGTTGTGGAGATAGCTTAGTCAAGACCTGACTCGATTGCCAGGACCCACATTTTAAAAAGTCAGACTTGGTGGCACAGATTTGTATTCCTGCTTCTGAGAATGCAAAGACAGGTGACTCCCTGGGCTCCCTGCCAGTTAGTCTAGCCTACTCAGCAGGTTCTAGGACAGTGAGAGACGCTGCTGTAAAAAAAAAAAAAATGGGTAGTACCTGGAGAACGACACTTCAGGCTGTCCTCTGGCCTCCCCATGTGTGTCCACATACACACATAAACAACAGGAAGATTCACAATCGTATATACATACTTATATATACATATATAAAAATGTGATGTTTTGATACAAGTGTACATTGTAAAATGATTAAATTTAACTAACTAATAAATCATTCTGCCTTCTGATCCTATAGTTTCTCTTCCATAGTGATTTTTTTTTTTTGGTTTTTTGAGACAGGGTTTCCCAGTGTAGCTTTGGCTGTCCTGGAACTCACTTTGTAGAGTAGGCTGGCCTTGAACTCACAGAGATCTACCTGCCTCTGCCTCCTGAGAGCTGGAATTAAAGGCGTGTGCCACCACCGCCCAGCTCCATAATGACTTCTTGAAAAGCTGAGATGCATGATGTAAGCCATTTTCTGTCTCCCCCATTAGATGTAGAATATCCATGGTTGTGCAGTGAGAAGCAATGAGAATAAAATGTGGGCATATATATATATTCAGAAGGTTCCCCAGAGGTCCTGATGTGCACATGGCGTTGAGTGCTCCCGGCTTCATCACAACCACTTTTACCTTCTTGTCGATGGGCACTACCTTACCCACAAGCTGGGGAGTGGTAGAAGGCCGTATTTTGGGAGTGGACTTTGGACTGGCCGCCTGAAACGAAGTCCTGGCTACATCACTTTCTGGGTTGTGACTCTGTAACTATGGAAAAATACTGTCTTCTCCACAAGCCCTTTCTCAGTCTTTCCAGTCAGAATTAATCTCTGCTTCTTCATAACGCTTTCTGTCTTGTTATAATGCAGGGCTGGTTCGTGGTGAACTCTCAAGAATGTTTATGAAATGCATTACCACATTGCACATTATCTTGTCATTCTGTGTGTCACATTTGTCTATGATAAAGAACTCTTTGGGGCAAAGATGATATATCATTCATCTTCATACACCATATGGTGTTCTGTCCATAGAATGCTTAATGGGTTTGGAATCTATAGGGAAACTTATTTTAAATGAGTTTTAGAGAAATTACATCAATCAAATACACTGTTTAGTGTTGTTTTCAAATATTGCCAAGGACACCGTTCAGTCCAGCCCCTTCACCTCCCAGCAAGAAGGGCTTCATGACTCTGTAATGGGGAGCTACTGCAATGGTGGATTTCCATAGCTACCCCAGCAAACTCTCATCTTGCCCAGTCGGCCAACCTGATATATTAACAAATGGGGCCCAGTGTTGGGAAATGATCTAATATATACAAGCAACCAAAAAGGAGCAATAAACACAACACACAATTTGTTTCATACACATTTTTAATCCTAAGGGTAGCTGAATTCCAGTGTATATGCGACAATTCTCATTTTAGCAGTCCCCACCTAAAAACCCCTTTGTAATTCTCTTTTTCTAAAAGTAAATGCATGCAATTTGGTTATTTTGCTGGATTTTTTGATTCAGTTGAGATTCTG